CGGGGCTTGTCCGGTCCCTGCCCGGGGCCGCCCGGGGCCCGCTCCGGCGAGCGGCAGCTCGTTTTCCCATTTAATTCAATTTCCATCTCGGTCCTCAGGGGCCGGCACCAGCTGGGCCCTCGGCCCTCCCCGCCCTCCCCCGCCCCTTATTAAATCCCCCCAGCTGCTGGTCGCCAGCGCATGCAAATCCGGCCAGGGCTGCCAGAGCCCCCCCTTCCCAGCGCCCCCCACAATGCCCCCCACCACAGCATTCCCCAGCAAGTGATTCGTGGACATCGCCCCCTCCTTACCTTCCCCCCCTTCCCCGCCACTTCACCCACCCGCTGCCCTCAGGATCCTGCAGTTCGGCCACATGTCGGTCACAGTGGAGAAGCAGACCATTCACGAGACCAAGGGGGACACCGTGGCCCCCGGGGACGAGGGGCTGCTCAACCTGCGGCCGGATGACTTCGTCTTCTACGTGGGGGGCTACCCCAGGGGCTTCACGGTGAGCCTGGGCCTGCCGGTACCCCACCGGCACTGCCCTGCCTGGGCCACCCTGTCCTGGAGGCCCAGGCTGACCCCCAGGGCCAGACCCTGGCCTCCCTGGTACCTGCTGGGCAGCCTTGTGCCCTCGCCAGGAGTGGTGGGTAGTGTCTGGTGTCACCCTGTCCTTCCCTCTCATCCTGGGAGGGAGCTTCCCTGACCAGCTGTGCCCACAGCCCCCTGAACCTCTCAATTTGCCCTGCTACCGGGGCTGCATTGAGATGGACACCCTCAACGAGGAGGTGGTCAGTCTATACAACTTCGAGGAGACCTTCCAGCTCGACACAGTGGCGGACAAGCCCTGCGCGCGGTACGTGCCGCCCTGCTCATGGTCCCCCGGCTCCCTGCATCCACTGACCACTGCCCCCCACCCTGCAGATCCAAGTCCACCGGCGACCCCTGGCTGACAGACGGGTCATACCTGGACGGTTCTGGCTTCGCCCGCATCAGCGTGGAGAGTCAGATGAGCAACACCAAACGCTTTGACCTGGAGCTGCGCCTGGTGTCTTCCCACGGGATCATCTTCTTCCTGCAGCACCAGGCACGAGGGGTCCCGCC